GGTGAATTCTCAAAACATGAAATATTTCATGTAAACTTTCAGTTTACGTATATGTTCTTCTTTATATGTAAATTGTGTAAGTTTCCATGAAAATTTTTAAGCATCAAGCGATGTGGTTTAAATGTGAAAAATAATGTAATACTACACTCGCATATTATGTACAAAGTGAATAGAATTTCTTATAGTGACTTTAATTTTTATGGTTATACGACAATTGGTATTTGACATAAGAATCCTACGTCCATTAAAAATGAACAACGAAAGCCAATTGAAGCGTGATGACGTATAGTAGAGATGCCCGATTCTTAATCGATTCGATTCTTTTCCTAACAAATTTAGGGAAAAAGGGTTGTTCGTGTTGCTTGCATGTTTCATACTTTTTGCTTTTAAAAAGAGATGGACGCCTAATCAGACGTTTGGAAGAAACAATCGAGTTGGTTGTCTCGTTTTTGCTTCTTCGAAATACATTCTAATATACTTCTGCCTAGTTTTAAATACGAAAAGTGCGAAGATTGCAAACATCACGAATAAGCCTATTTTTGGGGAAAAAATCGAATCGATTCAGAATCGGGCATCTCTAACGTATAGGCAGTGAAAACATACCGACGAAGTTTGCAAAGTTAAGATACGTATGCATCAGAAAGTTAAAGTGTAATATATTATAAATTGTATGCAGTAAGTAAAATGTAAATTTATTTTATATATTTATTGCATGTATTTTATGTATTATTTTACATGAAATATATATTTTCTGCAGATTTATAATTTTAATATGAATAGAATATTTTATCTTTTAATAATTTATTCTAAAAAATCCCAGACAAGCAGATTTCCAAGGGACGTTCTAAAGATATCACTATGTCTTAAAAACATGCTGAAAAAATTCTAAAGATGTCCATTGCAAATTAGTGTTGTCTTGAGTATATTGTAATATTTGTTTTACTTACAAATTCACGTTAAATCTTTCATTTTTCACGAATTTAATGAAGGTTTTTATCTTTCACGAATTCATTACAAAATTTTCACTTTTCACGAGTTCACACTAGGGGAAAAGATTTATGATCGCTACCCTGAACGCGCCCAATATCTACTAGCAGAAAATCACATGATGACCAACCTACTGGCTGAAATGACTTTTCGCATCTCCTTTTGGAACACACGTGGTACAATCACCTGTGCGTACGGAAGTGACAGTAACAGAGTCAGTGCACCTTCGTGCCAACAACCATTTTGCTACGTGTCATGTACGCAAATCTAATTTGTACGTGCGACTGACGATCGTGTCTCTGTCTTTCCAGACTTCTTTTTCGCATCTGTTCGTCTCGAGCGTCCAAGGTATATTGACGCTTCTCGTATGTTTTCGCGATAAAATCGAAATGAATTTCATGCAGTTTTCGTTTGTTTCGCGTGAATGGCACGAGCAAAAGACCGTATGAACGTCAGCATCAAAACGCCAAATCGTAAAACATATGTGACAAAAGTATACTTATTTTTTTCCATTGTTTATGCTTCGATAAAGATACACGCGGGTGTTTTTTAATTTGAACCAAAGATCCGTTAATCGTTTTGCTATCGTAGAAAATTTAAATCTTGCTCTTTTCAATTAGACATTGGAAGGAAACACAATTCTTCTTTCTTCAATTACTTTTACACATATATAATTTTCTCACATGTGTAATTTTTCATACATATATTAAATATTCGATAAAAATGCAACTAGCACAATCCTCTAGATTTTACAAAATTGGCACTAAGCTTGGTTTTGCTAACGTCCTTAAATGTCGATTAAACTTCTTAGTTTGAACTATTCAGACAAAAACTTAAATTCGTGTTAAGACTTTGTCGATGGAATTAGGCATTAGTCTTTGTCTGAACAGTTCAAACTGAAGTCAAAACTCAGATCTAGTTCCAACAACGTCTTTAAACGTCGATTAAACATGAGTTTAAATCTGACTAAATTCGTCTTGCACGTTTTTTTACTGAAAGTATCACTTTATCTTTTCTCAGCATATATAAACGATATTTTCTCAGCATATAATGAACGATAAAGATAAAATAATGCTTTCAGCACGAAGCACGTGCAAAATGCGCGAACTTAATCTTTGAAGACCGTTTAAATTCAGCAGTACTACTTTATGATCTCTTAACGTTTGCGTTACAGTGTAGTGCAAACGTTATGCATTATCGTGTAAATATAACACGTAATACAATAGTAGTGCAATGACATTCAATGATAACGATAATTGTTTTCCAGCAATAGACACAAGTTGTCACAAACATCATCCTATCTTTGTTACATGCAGAGTATGGAATAAAGACAGAATGATGCTTTTGTTGACTTGTGTCTCTTGCTGGCAAGCAACAGATATTATCCTTAAAAGTTACAGAATAAGCACACAGGTTAAGACCCAATCTATTTGGTGAAACCAGACAAATTGTTTTGTGCTAAGTTTTATTTTAAAATTAATCTTGTTTTAATATTAATTTGCAGTAATAAAATCATGCGGCAGCTAAAGGGCAAGACGAAAGAAACAAATAAACAGAAGAAAGAGCGGAAAAAGGAATTTCTAGAGAATAAGCAGAGAGTGTTCACCGTTGTGTTGCCCACTATAGCTGCGATATTTGTGATAATAGCGGTATATGTTTATGTTAAAACCCGTCCAAAGGACATCGATGAGTACTAATGATATGCTCCACACTTATCACTCACCGAAGCAAGATGTATGCGTCTCAACAATAATACATGGACAATTCCCAGTTGCATTTGTACAGACATATAAAGATTTTTCTAAAAGGAGATCACATTCCACCATTCTCCTGAGAAATATCTCGTATCTGAGTCGGATTTCAGAGTAACAGACTTTTGCAGATTAGTTATTTGATTTGATAAAGGGATATTTTTGAAAGCCAAGAATTACGTAATATTAAGGTACAATCATCAGATAAGACATAAGAAGTGCGATGTTTTCTATAAGAGCGAGCAACACAATATAAGAGAAGAATTAAGATATTTATATTGCTATAATAAAATTTGTTAACATTGAAGTAACAACTGTTTATATTGATTTGTGTCTTCCTCAATTTTTCTCTTTCGTGCATCGGCTTCTTTTTAATATGTATCATAGAAATGTAGAATGATATAAGTATAAAGTTACATTGTGTATTCTTTACAATCAATATATTTTTTTTCTATGTGTAAAACCACCTGTGCAATTCTTATCTGTGAAATGCACGTTTCAATAATTATTAAATCAAACTGGAAGACATCATTGATCTGTCAAGCATTTAAATAATAAATATATGGGTCCAATGCAGTATGGAAATATATTTGTTATATATAAACAGTACTATTGCTTTGCATTTTTTACCTTTCCTGCATACTTATCCTATGATTTTCTAGTGACGATATCGTACAATTAATGTTTTAAATATTGTTAAAAATATTTGATTTTAAGAATAATATTACGAAATATTAGATATTCTTCTTTCAACTTGAAAATTCCAATAAAATCCTTAATTAATATTTTCAACAAAGATTGTCAATGAGATAGGAAAAGAAGTCAAAGTTCCTCGTGATTATTTGCTTATACGTGTTAGTGCCGGTGACACGATGCAGACACGTGGATCATACCAATAAGAAGCTGGCACGTATTTACGCCCCTGTGTTGTTCTCCCGGCATCACTTCCTCACAAGTTTTCTCTGTCATTTATCGCCAAAATAATTACAATGGACTACGCGATGCTGCGTTTGTTCCTTTTAAATTTTACAATACTCTTACTTCATATCAATTACATTCAAGGTATTCTTTGCATTTATTTCGTAAAAATAGAATTGTCTATTTCCATGTACTAATAGGTTATGTTATTGCTGTCATTGTATGTAATATCTATGGTGTTTATTTTATTAATTCGTCGTGAAATTGGTTTTTTCATAAATAATTCTTTTATTCAATTGATTAATTATATATTTGCTTCGTAATCAATGTCACGAGTATCTCTAACTATAAAAGTATCTGTGTGCTCTGTAATCGTTGACTCTTAAGACCTATAATGTAAATATAATGTAAAACATGGAATTACATATAATTTTCGTCAATGCGTATCAATTTCATCAAAATATTTTTTCTTGCAGCTAAAGGAGCACACCATGTAACCTGTGGTTCTGTAATTAAGTTGTTGAATGTAGATTACAATTTGAGACTGCATTCCCATGATGTAAAATATGGTACTGGTAGTGGACAGCAATCAGTAACAGGTATTGAGGCCAAGGATGATAATAATTCCTACTGGCTTATTAAAGCAGAATTTGGAAAAATATGCACACGAGGGTAAGCTATATATGATTATACAGCTATTTCACTAATATATTAATATATGTTTTTGCAATCTATACTTGATTTCTTACAATTTTTTTTTAATTAGAGAGCCAATTAAATGCGATAGTATCATCAGATTAGAACACAGTGCAACAAAAAAAAATCTTCATTCGCATCTTGTCTCTTCACCTTTGAGTGGAAAGCAAGAGGTATCGGCATATGGAGACAAAGGAGAAGGTGATACTGGTGACAATTGGGTGGTAATTTGCTCAAATGATTTCTGGGGAAGAGATGATACGATTGTGCTGAAACATATTGATACAGATACGTGAGTATCTTTTTTCGCTACATAATTACATATTTTAGAGAAAGAGAGAATGATTTTTTGCATATATATTCTCCTACCTGCAATTTATCTTCTTTAATAATTTAAAAGAAATCAGGAAATCACAACTTTATCACAATTATTAATGTAAAAATTTCATATAATAAATAATATTAAATCATTTAGAATTTTAAATTCCTTTTTGCAAAAGTAGAAAAAAATTACTATTTACTAAGTAGATATTTGATCTACGATTATATATATATAATATTTAAATTTGATATGTTCATTTGTTAAATTCTTGTATGTTTAGGTATTTGTCTGTCAGTGGTAGAGTTTATGGTTCTCCAATTAGTGGACAAATGGAGATAGTAGGCGAGTATTCTCCAAATAGTCCTCACACACAATGGAAGGCGATGGAGGGTATGTTTATCCACCCTACTGATTTCAAAGCACAGCATTATCATCATACAGAATTATAATCTTTGTAGCAAAAACTGTAGGCTCGATTTATAAATAAATGCGTAAGTTAAAAAGAATTACAAATCACTATCTTTTTGATAAATAATTGTTCAAGCATGTCGCACATTAAATAAACTCTTTCTCTTACAGGGCCAATTCATCTATCACAAAACTCAACTTTCATGAGCATTAAATTGAAATTAATATCCAATTTTTGTTTAATGTTGATAAAAACTTATTACATATTAATTTATATTTATTGATTACTTTTTAGTACAAATTGAGATTTCTTTTCTTCCTTCACTTGTTTTCTCAACAATTCCAAATGTGCAGTAATCGTAAAACATTCGTATTTGTGCTTTATCGCGTATATGAATGTGTAAATGTGTTGTATATATATTACTGATATATATCTTTTATATATATATAATAATATATAATATATTATAGGCCAATATGTGCATACAATAAAGAAATGCATATACATTGAGAATAAATTCTTTGTTCGTCCATTAGCTATTGACTAGAATGTGTTTTACACTTCCTTTAATTCGTATTTGCCATTGATGTCTCTCGTGCCTATGAGACCATTGTATGGGAAGATAATATTCGAGAGACCATAGCTTCCGAAGATCTCTCTCAAATTTTGCTTTCCTGTTATATTTACGTAACGCTGTTTACCAGTCAGACAACTATGCAGCTTCCAAATACCATATACCAGGCAGATACACAAAATTGAAATCAGCATGTCGAAAATAATGACAAGCAATATGCTCAAACTATCTCGGGAGTGCAACAGTCGAACCAGCGCGATAGGAAAACAGAAGTTCAGAAATATGTTAAAGTAGTCTGTGTCGTTGATGTTCACTATGTGGTTGATGTTTTCATACATGTATGGCGCAATGACGCATAAGGAATACAGACACGTCAGCGAGGTGTAGAAGCAGAACAGTATGAAGTTTCCCATGTTCTGCCGCAACACGCAAGCACCCAGGAAGAAGCAGTGGTGATCCTTGAAGTGGAAACATTTACGGCAGAAAACGCAATGCTGCGTAGGCTTGCACATATAACTCTCACAGCGTTCGCAATGCCAAAACTTGTAAGCCCTGTTGTGAGCTGCTAACTGCGCCGTGCTCAGCTCGAGTTTATTCTGCGTTGTCACATCACACAGGTTGCTCCGTACTTCCTTGACCTTCATCGGATTGGACCTGTAGCTAATACTGTATACAGAATACCAGTTCAAGTATACTTGCATACAGAGGAAGATGAAGACCGGTGAAATCTTCTGATTAATATAAATCGTGATGACGATGACAAACACGGTGCATACTAATGTCACTAATGGACATAGTTTTTTAACAGCCTTTATGCAAGTCCTTATATGTTGAGCTTGAAACATGTCTTTTTAAGGTTTTAAACCTTTCTGCATAGGCTAAATACAAACACTCAATTGTTACACATACGATATGTAAATTCAATTTTCATGCATTGCAATTTCAAGCTGTATCAACTTTTTATTTTTCGTAGAATATTATATTTGTCTTTCTATATAAAGGCAATTTTTTTCGGACAGATATCTCGACGTATTGCTCTTATCCCGAGTTACTTTACGCTGAAAGAAAAGACATTTTAATAATACGTAATACGAAGATTAGCACATGATATAAATTTTCACAATCAATATACAAATAAATGTTGTATGATTTATTTGAAGGTTACAACGTACGGAAGAGTGTTCACTGATCCCGACCATAACCTCAACGACTTATTTTTATACCGGTTTCACCAGTTTCATTTATCTTAATAGATTGTAGTATTCTTCGAGATAGACGTAATTGTCTGTAATGTCTGATTAAATAGATGTCACAATTTAATTTCTTCTAAGATGCGTACATTCGCGCAATATCGTCACATGCTGCTTTACTGAAATATTCGACACGTACACACAAATATACAATATAGATATATGTATATATAACTGTGCTTAGCAAGAAAAAGAACCAATGTATATTTCTTTACTTTTCATGTAACTTTTTATGTTAATTACATAAATTAACCATTATTTTTATGTTAACTACATAAATTAACCATTATTTTAGTGATGATATCTCTTATTAATCAATAGGAGACCATATATGAAAGAATATCATCAAATATGATTAGTTTGTACAAAAATTAATTGTTACATGTGTATGTTACTGCATGTGTATGTAACATGTGTATGTTAATGCATCTAGACATACAATTTTTATATTTTACACTTCATTGATATTAATTTAATATTACAAAGCACTTAGTGATTGAGAAAATATAGCTAGTAGGATCTGACAAATTGCTAATAGTTAAACATATAACAGTTATATGCTATTTATTCTCACTAGAAAAAACAGTGGTATATTTTACAATTATGCTTATGTAGTAGTTTTATAATAAGATGCATTACGAAAAAATAATATACCTATATATATATTAAATTACAAATTAATAAAAATTCAAGCAATATTGCTACACATATAAAGACAAAATATGCTAGAAATTACTTAATCAGATAATAGTAAAAATTACATTTCAGTAAATTACATAATAAACTGTTTTTTAAACAGTTAACAAATAACGTTGTAAACAATTAGAATTAAGTAGACTGAAAATTTCGTTTAAATGTACAGTATACACTAAAAAATATACATGTATATAAAAAATTGATTGAAATATTCAAAATAATTAAAATTAATTTAAGATACAATAGATTGCCATTTACCCCTTTCTCTTGTCTTCTTATCCTGATATATATACTTTCTTTTATCAATATAGATTTTTATACATACTGTACACGTATGCGAAATTATATAAATATATATATAAAAATAAAGGACGTAAAAGCCAATCACGGATGTAATGTATATGTATTTATAAAATATTTTACACATCTAGCAACAATTCGAACTGAGAACAGTCAGTTAAAGAACATGATCTCAAATGATCTTTTAAATAAAACGACGACTAAAGATAACTGAGAATCACTTGTAATTTGTAACAATCTCGATTGATAATGACTACGTTACATAATTTACGAACATTAAAAAAAATTATATTTAGCTGTATATAGTATATTATAAATATATGTAAATTGCATCCACAACTGGCTCTTATTATTCCTTATTCTTATATTGTTTGATTTTAATCAAACAGCCTTACAATCATTTATTGGAGATAAATGTATATAATTATATACTCGTTCTATATACATCTTTATGTGAATAACACTGATAAATATATCGAATGTATTACTCTTATACGAGAGCATCGTACGAAACCAGTCTGTAGTAATTAGAGAGATAAAGAATAAATACAATTAGAATTTATAAAAACGCAAAATAATCAGTATATTAAAATAATAATATGACACAATGCAACTTAAAATATTATTAAACACGATTACTCTCACACACACACTGTCATCCTTTCAAGTATACTCGACACCACAAAAGCTTTATCATTTACTAGATCGATAGTTCGATAGATAAAAATCTTGGACCAGTTGTAATCAGCAGAAAAAAAACAAGAATGTTAAACAGAATAAATCAGACATTAATATATAAAATAAGTGGAAATAATTAGGCGTGTATATATATATATATATATATATATATATATATATATGTATGTATATATATACGTATATATGTATATATGTATGTGTATATATATAATTATTTATATTTATATATATATATATATATTAATATTAATATTAATATTAATATATTAATATATATATATATTAATATATAATAATTAATATATATATATATATATATAATTTTTATAATATAAATAATTATATATATATATAAAATATTTATCCTTCTTAACATTCTTATTTTTTTTTTCTAATTCCGCGTTATACTTAAATAAGTAACTTTCTTTGTTGATATATAGGAAACATTAAGCTATTAAAATGTTGCTTTTACTTTGAACATGTTCCTACTTTTTTGATTAATCAAGTTATAAGACACGAAACACGTAGCTAGGAATGTAGCAGGTTGAAAATGTTGTATAATTATCGATGCAATGGTAAGGCTTCAATGGTATTAAGCATACTTTAAAATATTTCGATTGTGCATGCAAATATTGAAATTATGTCTAGTTAGTGAGGGCTCAAAAACTTTAATTGTGCATACTTAAAATCACATGTACTATTTTGTACTTTTTTCTTTTTTTAGAAAAGAGGAGTAAGTACATGCGACGAAGCTACAACTTGCAAATAGATTTTAACGTTGATATCAGCCTATGTAATCTTGATATAAATCGGAGAAACAATTTCATTCTATATAAATTGTGTAAAACTATGTAAAATACATTTCACTGTGTTTTACGCACAACTTTATCAAAATAGATCGCGACAACGATGTGCTGCCGACGAACAATTTGACATTTTTAACAATGAAAAGTGTAAAAAATATGTTCTCACATAATCCTCGTTCGTTATATGCTTGATATATCCTGTGCATTATATCGATATGTACATACGTATGATCATACATAAAGGTGCATTATCGTCAGTTTTAAAAGAAAACTCATCACGCTTTCTATCTGTAAATCCCGATTCTATTGTTACTCTATATTCATAATTATTAGAGGTTGACTTAACGATAATCCTGTATAAGAGTAGTATGCTTCACCGTAATTCTCCAATTGGCGCATTTTGAGACCATAATTCGTCTATAAACTTGTATAAGGCATCACTGACAGCCACCTGTAAAAAACATCAAAAGTAAAAAGGTTTCAAATAAATTTTATATCGGAATATATTTGAAGTATCAAGTATCTATTTGCTCACCTTATACGGCGTTGGATTTAGATTTCTTTTGTGATCATTACGCAGCGTATTAAGAGATTCTTGTACTCTATTGCGAATCTCTTGCAATGTAGGTAGTGGCTGACATAACTTGCCGTCTTTCCAGTATACCTGATATATACGATATATTTATAATATATATTGTAACATATTTTTATTATATGTATATATACACATAATTCAAATAAACAATATTAATAGTATATATAGCAATTTACAAAAAGAGAATCGTGAGTCTGAAAATAGAATGTTTTCATATATCTACTATTTTATGACTATTGCTAAATAATAGAAGTTAAAGAAAAATATTTAACATCAAATATTAGAAAATGTAAGAAAAATGTGTTTTGATAAAGAAGACTATATTATTCAAAAGGTTTACACAGTATACCGATAACGCGTAATATTGTGTAATATATGTATACTAATATTATATTGTACTTATATTTAAAAACCTATGATTCAAAAGTGATACCTTATGTAAAGATTCCACTCGGGAAGGCGTAACGTTAGCTCTCTTCGTTTGTTGGAATGGATGTCTGCAGAGAATTTTCTGCATAACTTGCGGCTCTTCTTCAGATGTCTTCTGCAAGAGATCTATCAATGCGTAACCATCAGTTCCATATAATCTGTAAGCAACCTTGCTGCCCGGTATTGTGACTTTTCCAACTTCTTGACTGAGCTTAATCCTTGGTTCACCGTTGATTTCCACCATTTTGTAGACGCAACCCAAAGCCGGCTGTCTCTGACACGTTACAAGATGTGTACCAATTCCAAAGCAATCGATTTTGTGATTCTAGAAAAATATTTAAGTATCAGTACGTAACAGCTACTTGTATTTTAAAATTGAAAGATAGCCCTTATAGAAATATCATACTAAGAATCATTGATAATTACTTATTATCCAGTATTTTTAATACTGAAAATAAGTAATTATCAATGATTCTTAGTATGATATTTCTATAAGGGAGTGACAAGCTATTTTGAGTTCCAAAAATGGCTTGCGCGAATTCTAATCTTATCGTAGAGATATTTACTTTTTTTTATAGATTTCGACCTCTTATTTGTCGTTTTACCTGTTCGTTCAAGCTTATTATGGTATCTTCGTTGATATCGTTCGATGCGCAAATTGTCATCTTCGCGAACCATGGTATGTTGTACTTAACGGCAATCTTTTCAAAGATATCTCTTGCAATGTTACTGAGATAGGCCAGGTCTCCGCTGTCGATCCTGATCCCAACGGCTTTGTATCCTAAGTCGTTTAAAGCCAACGCTACTGCACAGAAGTTCAAGAGACCGCTCCTATTTTCAAAATATATCTGTGAGACGTCTGGATAACTATTAAATTCTATTAGTTATGAATAAATGTGCGTGCATTGTTGAGAGGCAGCTTAAGTCACACATCACACACTTTACACTATGCTTTTATAACAATTATCTACAGTCACTAAGCCTAAACTTGACAATAGATTTCATAAAATATTTGTTCTTTTTATAATTATATATTTGTTTTTTTTATAATTTTTTACTTAAATATTTTAGAAAATACACAAAATTGAGAAATGAAACTTATCATAATCACTTAAAATTTTTTTATGAAAAAATCTCAGGAAAAAAAACCATATAAAAGTTTTTAATTTTAATTTTTATTGTTTTTATATATTTAATTATAATGTAATGTCAAGCTTAAATTTTTCTTTAGTTTTGCCAAGTTTAGGAATAAAATGCGATTACGATAAGTATAGCATAAAGACATAACATAAAATAACATAAATTAAGCATAATAGCTAGGGCTACCTAAACTTGCATTAATTAATATAAAAAGGGTATGATATTTTGTACAATCCCTGTCATTAATGTTTCTAGTGAAGAACATTATCAGACATTTTGCTAAACATTCAAATATAGCAAATTGATACTGTATAATACAATACAGTAGTTGAGACTATATCTTAAAGATTATAATACCCAGTCAGAACCATAATGTTGATTCGACGTCGAAATGATCGATAAGTCGTTGAATCAATGTTGATTCAATCCTCATCGACATCGAATCAACCTTGAATCAACATGTGGTTTTAACTAGGATAGTATACTGAATATTATGATATATTCAGTATTTTATTTAGAAATATATACTTCTTCCTTTGTAATAAACTTCCTCTTATGTAGCATATTTTAACGGCATTTTAATGTTTTAGCATATTAACTTCTTCACTATTGATGACGAGAAGTTAAGAAGATGTATATTTGTGATGCTGTAATATCTCATGGAAGACATTGCAGCAAAGATTTACAGAATGGCAAGTGCTCAAATAACAATTAAAATACATGAAAGTTCTTTTAATACACAATATGTGCCCATATTAATTGCTGAAAGAATAAGGGGCAGAATTGGGAGGGGCACTATATAAGATCAGGAAGGACACTATATGAGATTCTTATCATTTTATCTCTAGCATGAGAGTAACATGAAATGATAAATGTATACAGTTTGTAATTTGCCTGTTTCACAGAATATTCCTTCTAATACCATTTTTTAATGATATTAAAGTCACAACAAAAAAGAAAATTTATATTTTAATCATATTGCTCAAGAACTCTCTAGCAAAGAGGTTTCAATTTAACAATTTATCAAAAAGCTACAGATTCTTACTTCCTTTATGTTCAACTAAAGATGGTCTGAGCTTCTGAAGTTTATGAGAGGGCATTAATCATTGTTTCAAAAGAATATTATGCTAATTATTAAGAATAATTCGAATAATATAATTTATAAAAAGCATAATAATTTTTAATAAGGAGACCAGCGAAATGGAAGGAAAAAGGATGGCGGAATTGTATTCTGCAAAACAGGCAAACAGAACACGATATCGTACCTCACATAGAGCTCGCCCAATTCGCCTCGTCTTAAAAAGCCGTTCTTGTGTTGCGAAGTCGATTCTGATTTAAATGGGTTGTTTCTCACGCCATTTTGGGCATGTGTATTGGACCCGTTAGTTAGAAGTTTATTCTTTACATTTAGGCTGGCCACTTGTGCCTGCCCCTTGGCCGACGTCTCAATGCTACAAACACACTCCTGTTAGGCTACACACACACAGTGTGTACGCGTGTCGTCATGCCTGCTTGACGCGCGCTCGACAAAACTAAATTATACAGCTGCCAATATGATCGAATTAAAGATATGAAAATTCATACATCTCTCTCTTTCAAATACATATTTACTCTGAGGTACATTGGTCATTCTTTCGTTTGTGATACACGGTGTTGTATTCCACGATACACAGTGGAAGTGAGACGAGAATGCTTATAAGAAAAACTTCATACACTACGCAAGGTGCTGCACTTGAGTTTTGAAGTTATATAATCACTATCTTATGCATGTCAGATTATATTCTGATTAGTGTACTGTTATCTACGCGAGAACTATGTGCGTATATGTGCATAGCCTAATGAAATGCATCCTACATACATAAAATATGTACATATTTGCGACAATCGATAACTATCGATAATGTACATTTAATACGTTTGCGATATACAGAATGTCCAAAACATGCGCGATTAATACCTTGAAATGCCAGTTTTGCTGGGAACAATTCGATTCACTGCCACAGATTCGCTGTTCTTGTGTAACTTGAACATTCTGCATAATCGTAATTTGAAAAATGTAATTTGAAGACATACTACGTTACACATCGGTGCAAATGATAGGGATGTAATAAATAGAAATGTAGACAGAGAGAAGTGTAACATAATCAGAAAAAGCTAGTAAAGTCACTATTGAAACGTAAAATTGCTAATTGGAAATAAAATATATGAAGTATGTGCATGCAAATGACAAATGTTTGCAAGTACCTCGTGCAAAAAACTTTTGATAAAGTTGATGCATAATGCGTAGAAGAGAATGTATATACACATAAAGCTTGTAAGCTACAAAATTTAGAAACAGACGTCGAGCACTCTGTTATCATAATGGCGAAGTAAAAATTAAAGCATAAAATAGCTGTGATAAGTACCTTTTGACATCGTATGTGTCCACAAGAGCGGCGAATCTTTCCGGGAAAGCAACGGCGTAACTGATGAGGGCCGCAAATTCACCGCCAGATGCTTGTGAAGCTAAAGCTCCTAAATCGTCGGCGATATCCTCACGATATTTGCAGGCAAGCTCCAGTAGATTTAAAACATCTCCTGTTTGTTTGTGCGCCAACGTCTATGAAAAGAAAATGTATCAATTTTATTTTCTCGTTTTTTACTATACTCCCCGAAAAGTTCCATTGTTTAGTTAATTCAATGAGCGAACATGATTTTCTCATGAAAGAGAGAGAAATGCTTACTTTTCCTTGCAAGTCGTCAATGCTGGTGAAAGACGTGATGTATGCATGTGCGTGTGTACCGCAAACGGGTATATTGAAAAGCTTCCCAGCCAGAACATTGCTAGTACCGTCGAATCCGCCTGTAATAAATTATCTCAGATAAGTAAAGTCTAGAATATTGAGTCGACTGATAATTTAACTTCATTTGTATGTATCAATATGTACATATCAAATCACATAAAACGTGAAGTTCTATCTGCATTTGTACATAGGTTGGCATATATATACTATATACTATAAATATATATGTATATATATGTGTGTGTGTATCGTCAACCTGACCTCTTAAACTGTTACTCATCACCTAGCAAGGCGGTACCAACCGGCACAGACTGGAACAATGTATTGATTTCGTGAAATTGTTAAGTATAGTGTAAGGGTGATGGAGTGGTACCAGACACCTCCTCTATCCGTTATGTATTATACCACGAATTGACGCATACACATTGACACGTATCCAACTTTCTACATATTTGAGACTCAATATGTAATGTAATTCAACGTATTAAACACATGTAAACTTTATCAGATATATATATATATATATATATATATATATATATATATATATATATATATATATATAATTTAAAAAGATTAGATTGAGATTAGATTTTACCAATAATTAAAAAAAAAACCGCAAGTGTGTAAAAACTGTTATACTGTTTATCATGCATATATAGCGTGCAATTTTACACTATACATGTATCTCATATACATTATATGTTTTCATATCGCGTATACCGCGCGATACATACATATACATTTTAAAATTGCGCAATCATTACATAAAATATTCTGATGAAATAATGGTGGTATGCAAATTCGGGAATGATAATCGATATAAATTTTAAGAAAATAAAAGCCAAAATCTTAAGCAAAAAAAATTAAATTTTAATTTTAAGCAAAAAAATGCTATATTAATTGATTGTGCTTAACAAATTTGAATTATGAGATTACTTTAAACATCACAAACTGTTTCTAGAATTTGAGAGAACCGAAACAACACTGAACTAACTTAATAAAATAAATATATTTACCAATATAGCTGTACTTAGACGCGCTCAATCCCCCGTCGGGTCCTTGCGCTCGTCGAAGTCCAAATTCTAGTAATGTTATATGTTTCCCAGCAGCCATGCGATACCTTGCTGCATTAGTCGCCATTAAACTTGCATAGTTCACTAATGTTAATAAAGTTGTCTCCAACAGTTGTACCATTATCAATGGTCCTTCAACTCTTATTAGAGGAATTCTACAAAAATTTTTATCTATGTTAGATTCATTTATTTATTTAAATGGCTTATTTAAAGAATTATCTAATATCAAGTTTTTTTACTTAAATATTTAAAAATAACTGCATTAAGAGGTAATGTGTATCTCTGTGATAATGGTATACATTTTATTGACATATCTCAAGTTGATATATAACTATAGTAAATCTTTTGTGTATATACTTTTATCCATTTTGTCAGTGTTACTCCTATTTTCATCCATTATACATTCCTTATATATACGTGTTAGAAATGTACAAATTTCTAACATGTTTTTATTTTTATAGATATATGAGATATAGGTAACGCATATATAAATAGGTAAGATGATATATTTTTGATACATTATGCAGGGTCTCTGGCAATTCGCTATAGAGTCGCGGAGTGCAAATAGAATATATTAACTTGAGTAAAAGGTTCTCTACAATTTTTCAAACGACCACGTAAAATTTCAAGATATTAATGAAAAGATTGACGAACTAGAAAACACACGATGTTATGAGATGGATTCTAAGGCTCGTATTAATAGTCGTTATTTGAACTTGTTTTGCGTGAAATACTCAGGTCTGAATTTAGAGTTAGATCGAAGTTTCTTATTTCAATTATATAATATGTGACATTATATTTTGTAATCGTAATTCACAGCTGAAACGAATATGTTCTACCTGCACATCGTCGCTTCATAGTGAGTTGTCGGGTAATCTGTATATACATTGATACAGTTAATTTTAAACCTACCTTGGAAACACAACAGATCCTTCTTCTATGGCGTATAACGTGACGTCTTTTGCGGTGAGGCTCTGTAGATAATCGAAGAAACTTTGGTCTACCGTAGGCATAGTCGACTTTAAGTACTTGATATCTGCAATACAGAATTATATAATACAAATTTTCATAAGAATAGCGAATAACAAGTAGATACCGCAAATACGCACCACTGCAGGAATAATGGAATTTTTTCAAGAACTTTATGCATTCTTCGAGACCGGCAAAAATCGTAAACTCTCCCTGAAAAGGATTTTTGCGGAAGAACAACTCAAATACGGCATGGTCGTCCACCTTGCCACTCTTCCAATAGGCGTAAGCCATCGTAATTTGATACAAATCTGGAAGCATACATAATTTATATTAAATAAAAAATACTTTCCAACGTACACATGTTTTAGCGCTAATAAAAAAATCATACATAATCACAGGAAGTAAATCGTATTATCTTCTAGGAATTTAGCTCCGCATATTCAGAATCAACAATTGAGTCAATTGCATAATGTTGTTTTTTGTCATCAGGAAAATTATATGTTTCAGAGATATCATTTTATCTTCGAATATATTACGTATATATTACGGCATATACCGAACAAGATAGACATCTTTTTACATGTGAAAGAAATTTTACGTCATGTTTTAAGCAAATTCATATTAACAAAATGTCCCAGAAATATCTTACGATACGAGCACGGAAGCACACGTGTTGCTCGCATCATTGTGAGCGACATTATTTACAAATATAATCGAGCTCTTACATCATACACGAGACAAGATACGCGAGCGTTTATCCCGATGTCAACAAAAAAATTCCGTCACGAACAATATATGACAATTTTTATCTCATTTGTCGCAAAGCTTCGGGATTATTTAGAGAGACACACAATCCATCTCGCTCGTCACGACGCTGAGGTCAATCTTCGCGGCGAGGTCACGTTTCTCTTGACCTCGTGTTAATGGTGAAATGCTTACAAAACGCTAATTATGCTTCCGATTAAATATGTAATTACGAGAATCGGGATTTGTTATTTTGCAAATCGGACGAGTGGAAATTAGAAGATTGCTTTTTGGATTAATCAGAACTTTAAAAACATTAAAAATATGACTTCAAAAATATAATTTTTTATATGATTATTTATTATCAATTAATATTATTAATATAATTTATATATATATTTTTATATATATATTATATTATTTATATATATTTATATTTTTCTATTATTTTTATTTATGCATAACATTAAAAATAATTTTAATAATTTCTAATTCTTTTCAAAAAATTAAGTTTTCCAAGTAAAAAATCCTTCTTTCTCTCTCTTTTCCTCCGTGCATACGTGTGATCAACGTTTTAATTACCACGAATGAGACCTTTGCCCGACCGTACAATGTATAATTGTTGCGTTTAAATGACCTCACATATCTCTTTTTCTCTTTCTCTCGCTCACTCGCTCGCCTTTTCTCGAGATAGAAAGAGATGAAAAATGACTGCATACGGTGAAGTAGAAGAAAACGTCGATGATGTCAAATGGATATAGCGAACGCGAAATAGCTTTCGACAGTATGTTAAGAGTATGATCTTTAAACGCATACCTGTAAGTAGTGGCTGAACCACACCGTTTTGCCGCGAATTGCAGCATGTTCCACCGTCGTCTGTTGACATTTTGCGGGCCGCTCGCGTACGTTCGCCTGAGAGGAAATGAGTTTACTACTCACACACACTCATCCACTTACACACAATCTCTCTTTCTCTCTCTCTCTCTCTCTCTCTCTCTCTCTCTCTCTCTCTCCGTCAACTCGCTCAGGTGTATTCAGGTCTCAACTGCGCTCTTCTGCATAGTAAAACAAAGAAAATAAGTGCATATTATATTAAATCGCCTCTTGAAAAACCTCTCTGCGAATTGATTCTTGCAAATAGAAGAATTAGTAATCACTGTCATAATCATCGAACGTCACTGTTCGAGCGAACACGTGATAGATTCAACATTTCTATTTTTATTGTCGCAAATCTACGCAAATATATATCCGCAAAGGTTACCTACGGCGAATGATAAATGTCTCAATTATTCTAACATGGACTATATACAATCCATAAATTGTTTTCTTTTGCCTTCTTCTACACAAAAGATCGTTTTCTTTCTGAATTTTTTCTATCTTCCCGATGTTCCGCGGAATTTTCAAAAATCGACGTGACCACACAGCTAAATTCATGCACGCTCTCGTCTAGTGATCTCCAAATTTACTAGAGTCCGAATCTGCACGCTTCCGCTACACTTTTTGCACCTCTCTCAATCGAAAGAAATACATGTATTCTCACGCGTCGATGGGAAAAAGATAAAACAAGCGTCGGAAATATGAAGCTAACGAGAACTTCTCCGACTGAAGAGAACGTCTCCGACCGGGAAGTGTTTGTACGCGTTGGTGATGGAACAACCAAACAAACCTTTTTTTCTCGCCTAATCTGTATGGGTTGCGTTGCGTGCACACACAGTAGCGCTTCTTTCTCTTTCTGCCGCCTTTTTTCCCCTTCAAATAAATACAGTCTTTGTCGAAATGCCGTCCTTACATCGTTCTTGATTGAATGTAGGGTTAGGCTTTATGGAAACCTCTCTCTCTCTTTCTCAGTTCGTCTCAATTCTCTCGTCCGAATTGTTCACTGTCGAGCATATGACCACCGTATCGTAGTTTCACTTCTGATATCGTCGACGTACTAACTGCAACTAACGCGCTTCGATGCGCGCCGCACTGTAATATATGCTCCGAGAATTCACGAATCGATGAGGAAACGTTTGAAGGACATCCGACGCCATTGGTATGCCTGTTTCACTTTGCTTCTGATTGCGCGCTCGTCGAAAGTCACTAAACTAAAGTCTGCTCTTCCTATTTCCTCCATGCTACACTTTTTGCATAATTGAGACAAGATGAGTCTCTATTTGAGCTTTGATGGAAGGATAAAGCGAAAAAAGATAATTCAATTTGCAAGGAAATTCAGAAGGTATAGTTAGAAGAGCAACATGAAATTGCTAGGTAACAAAGTAAAAAGTGTAATTGTCTCACTCAAAGGTGCAGGTATGAATCGATTTGATTCGTCGTTTATCGTATCTCCATTGAGTTTTATTCGTGACTAAAGTTTAAATTTTTAAATTTTGAAACAGCTTAAAACTTTTGCAAAACGGAAGAGACCAGAGATCGTAGTGCCTTTATAGATAAACGAAGAAAATGGTGATGAATTTATCGCTGAATATAAATTTGCTTTTCATAAGAATTCTTGAGAATCGTTTAACTTTATCTCAACTTTATTCAGCGACTGCGGTAACATTTTTACATTTTTAACCTAAAATGTAGAAATTGATAAGACTTAATCCTTAGCATATATCGTTTTTTAGACACTATTACACATAAAATTGCATAATTAGAATAATTTGTTGATAAATATTTTAATAATAATGACTTTCTTAGCTATGTCCTATATATATTATGATGACAAAGATATAATTAAATTTATATTTTTAAGGGTTATTTCTGGCACTCAACCCATATAAGGAATTTTATAACATAATTTTATACAAAAAAATATTTATTATATCATCTTAAAACTCACATAAATGCTTATCTGCAATTTATTGCTTAATAATGTTCCTACTATAGAAAATTATAAGCTTTAGATTTAGAGAGGTTACGATCTAATTCTGTAACTATGTATTGTTTATCTTTTTTATCATAAAGAAGAAAAGACATGCAAAGTTTGATTCAAGAATTACATTGAAAATACTTAACAAGCTACAACTAGTGATAAACTCTTTTTGAACGTCATTACTGAGAAAAGATCCAACTTCTGAATTAGTTTGTTATATATATCACATGCCTTTTTTCACAAAATATAACCACACTGATCTCTCATTACAATGCAAATTTACATTGTAAGTACGATTTCGCCTCAGCGGTGCCACATGGTTCCAAGTTCCACGTCGAGAAAGCCGAATTCACGCCAGAGGAGCTTCAAGGCTACCAGTTACCAATGCCAAATTCAAAGTGATCGCACGACAACCTTCGAATAATGCATCTTATGCCCATATCAGACTATTACAGTAGATAATACAAGTCTACTAAGAGATGTCTTAAGGACGTCCAAAAGCCGACCTGCTTTTTTTTCTAGACGTATTTTAAACATCTTTAAGACATCTTTTAGTAATTTGCGCTGTCTGGGTATGGATTGAGGATTGTAATCGAATCAATTGAGCGGAACCAAGATTTAGACTGTCTGATCCGATTGCAATCTTCAATCTGATATGGACGTTACATAACATAAACTGTCATAACGTAGCACCGGGCGGAAGAAACCCAGGTAAGTGCACGCGATCGTCCTCTCACTTCAGTTGAGTACCGATCGAGTGTAATTCAACAGTGGCCACTCTGCGCTGCATAGCCCGTCGATACCGAGACATTATACTGCTCTAAAGATATAAATATACACTCTAGAGCTTGCAAATAGATACTGTGTTACGCGCACAAGATTCTGTCCTGCAGGTTTGGTTGTACAATTCTGGTTTGCATTGGAAATATACCGGCTTAGCCTAGAAACTAGCGCGAGAGAAAGAAAGATACGAATGACAATTAGTTTCTTTTAGAAATCAGATTTAACACGAATACGTTAATCATAGATTCCCTTCAATGTTGAGTTTTCCTTCCTAACGGAACACGGAACGTACAGAATAATTAGAATACTGCAACTCGCAATTAGAAATGGTTTTACATGTATCAGTTACCGTTTAAATTCGCGTTTCGAATAATATTGATTTACCTTGAAGGTGGCGCGAGAAAAAGATTCAAATGGTAATTGATTTCTTTTAGAGATGAGATTTAACGGATACATTAATCATGGATTCTTCAACGTCGACTTTCCTTTCTTAACGGAATGGTGCACTTCTCGTGCACACAAAGTATACAGAACAATTAAAATATCACGATTTGCAATTAAAAATAACTTCGTATATATCAATTGTCGTTTGAGCTCGCGTTTCGAATAGCATGTTTGAGAATGTATGGTATATATATTATATATTACTTTTTTCCCAAGAGTATATGCATATCGTTGTGCGCACTTCTTCAAGGATTACGTCAGTCTATCAGCACAGTTAGGAAAATGTAATAATAGTGCACGTGTCTAGAACAAGAGAGAGAGAGAGAGAGAAGGAGAGAGAAAGAGAGAGAGAAGATGATAATTAGCGAATTGTTCGACTAAACACACGTATCGTTAGGGGCAACATACTGCGGCCACACGACCGCAGTGTGCCACTTTCCCGATCATGCGGAACAAAAGTATTCTACTTGGTTACACGCGAATGTTTTGTACTCCACGACCTTCTCACAACGACAGACATATTGCGGCAATACTCGTCTTCGTCTTGATACACGAGAAAGAAAAGGAACTTCTCAAGCCAGGAGTTCGCAAGAGGTTTTATATGTGGGCAAAAAAACACGCGGATCGAAGATGAAACTTCGTGAGCCTACGTGTAATTTCTCCCACGACGGAATCGCGATCGTTAAGTGGAAGAGCCTCGAGCTTCATTTCGATGAATCACGCTACTGGTTCGACGCTCGTACACGAAGGGGCGATATTTCAATCACATCACAATTGTTTCCACATGTTTTATCACTTTATCACTCCTATGCCATTTGAAACTTAATAAACGTATTATTTCGCACACAGGATGCAATTATCTCCACGTCGTGGCGTAGCTAATATTTCACATCGCTCGATTCTGAGAAACCAATAAATATGCATGATATTATCATGCGCACACTTTGTCGATCCTTTTTTTATTTCGACCTACCGAGTAAAGTAATATCGCGTCTCTTGTGTAAGAAAAAGTAACGGTAATCATTATACGTATATTGCGCTATATTGCATAGTCAAAAAGGAACCGATAAGCATAATCATATACGAGCATTGTTAAATATTTACATTCTTACACATAGCAAGTACACACATGAAGATATCGTAACCTACCATTTTCCACATATCTGCACGTTACAGAACGATTGATGAATTTGGAGTTAGTCAGCTTTTCACAATATAATCAACAAAGCAATTAGCTTATCATTGCGATATAAGTTACTATAAAAGCCGATTTTTTCACTAGTAGTTTAAACTTAAATCTAAGTTTGAATTACTATTGAAAAATGGGCCTTAAGTGTTACGTTGTAACTTCTCGCTGTCGTCAATCCGTCGTCGTCGATCTTTCTATTAATAACTGTCTGTCATTTGTTACACTAATATCTCCTGTTTGAGCTATGTTTTTCTCTTGATCTTTAGTATTATGACACTGCAAGTTTCTCGTTCTCATTGATTACGTAATTACGTAATTACGAGACATGCGCAGAACAAAAGTATATTACGCGGCAATAAATCGTGTAATGCGACTTACGTGATTACGATTACGTGTTTTGAATTGCATTTAATCCATATAATGTTGATAATGTCGACGTATTTATCTCGAAAAAGAATATCTCTTACTATCTTATCAGTGTTTACGCATATTTATTGGTTTCTCAAAATCGAGCGATGTGAATTGTTAGCTGTGCCACGACGTGGAGATATCTGCGTCCCGTGTGCGAAATAATACGTTTATTAAGCTTCAAATAGCACAGGAATGATAAAGGGACGACTCCTAGCTGTTGATAAATGCCATTGAACTTCTGTAATTTACTACGCGGCTACTCATTTTATCTTCGTCAATTTCTCATTAATCCCTTTCAATTACGATAATTATTCATTGTTTCGATTTTCATCGTGGTTCTTCTCTAAATTTACATTTTACTAGATATTAGGTTTTATTTTAATAATAATGTATAATCAGTATTTAAATATATACTTCGATACTAATTACTATAAATATCTAAGTCATTAAAATCGTACATTTTTTTATTTTCTAAAATACCGTGAAACGAATATATGTATTTTATTTCTTTTTTCACTACATATACTCATATAATCTTCTGGCGATGCGGATCTATGTTTACCGGTAACCAATAGTAACTCCGCAACGCAGAAAAGATTCTGAATCGTCTTGATCAATAGGTCTCAATGTTTCCACTGTTTTAGTAAAGTTCAGCTGTAAGGACAGGTTGTGGGAATCATTGGTTAAGTCAATATACTTCTAATCACATAGTTTTCTAATTATCTCAGCGACGTTATCAGAGTCCTCGCCCATCGTACGACGTTTATCGAACAACATTTATTTCCTAACATTTCTGATAACGATTTTTGTACTCTTATTCATTTAACATCGCCGTGAAATAGTACGATAGTTAGTCATATGGACATTGGCTTTTTAAATAAGTTCTCATTTTCGATCTAGAGTATAGAATTTTCTAATTGATATTGATAGAGATACTTAATACTCGAACTTCCTCTGTGATATCACTTGACATCGATAGTTAAAGATAAACTTGCCTTTTTGAGTTATTATCACATATTTTAACAAAGTAAGACTTTCTTACACAAGTCAGCTTTCTAATATGTTCAATACTGGCTATCAATTCATATAGCTGCAGGCTATATTTCAAAACTTATAAAGTTTATCCAATGAGAGCATAAGAAGAAAGTTATAAATAAATCAACTTAAATGTGCGGTATTTAAGAAAGAATTTAGATAAATAAGATTACAATATTTTGAAAAGTTGAAACACGTCTAATGCTGTCTTTTAATTCTGTTAATTCTAAAACTGTCGTCAATTCAAGAAATGTGTTTCTTGAATTAGTATTCTTACTTAGAGAATATGATATTCATTGGCTTGGAGCATTCTAAAACGATGAATATCAGGGACAAGCAATCTTCGTGAAATTTCTTTGAAATACGTCCATAGTGACATTTGTTGCATATATCGTTTATGTTCCTGTAACGCTGATAAATGTGTTTATAAAGTAGTTTATTCCATCTTCAGTTATCGACCTAGTACTTTAAAAGTTGTGTTGCTTTTATTATTCACAATTAGTCATTATTCCTCTCTTTTCTGGTTATCGACAACGCGCGTTAGTCCGACAGACTCTATACGCGAGTGTAAACGCAGAAAATTCTCAACTCATTTTATACAACGAATTTATTTTTTTTTATATACGTCACAGATGCGTGTGTGTTGTGTGTGTACGTGTATGTATACCGTACTAACTAATTCTACAAATGATTCTCCAGTATTTGTCGGCTAAATATGCTAATATGTTAATTTTCTGCGTTACTGGCACTTCTGAAGTATCGTTAATCACTAATATCGAGCTTTACCAGCTGCCACTTGGTGTCGGCTTTAGAAAAATACTCAATTTTTGATTCTCTAAAGTCTAAAACGCAAAAATGACGATTGAGCCGCGAGCATTGGATCGTCTCGGATGCCCTTTCTGTCAAAAATTGATTATTTTTTTGGTGTATGTATATATATATATATATATATATATATATATATACCACTATTTATTGTTGCCTATCTCTATATATATATACATATATAAGTGTATATATATATATATATACATACATATATATATATATATATATATATATATATATATATATATATATATATATATATATATATATATATATATATAT